CTCCTCTGTATCCTCCTCCCGGCGGCCCCTCCCAACTGGAGAGATGCCAGCCCCCATGAGTCATCACTTCCTCTGACTTTTCTGGCTGTCAGAGTTCTTTCGCAGACTTTCTCCCCTGGGGCTGCTGTCCGGCTCTCCTTCCTGCTGCATCTAGACCAGTGGTTCTCAACCTTCCTCATGCCGCGACCCTTTAACACAGTTCCTCACGTTGTGGTGACCCCCGATGTCATTGTTACAAATCGAACATCATTAAAGCATAGTGATGAATCACAAACACAATATGTCATTATATGTGTGTTTTCCGATGGTCTTAGGTGACCCCTGTGAAAGGGTCGTTCGCCCCCCAAAGGGGCCGCGACCCACAGGTTGAGAACCGCTGGTCTAGACAGTGCCCTAAACAGGGCAGGGGTGAACCTCGAACCCTAACGACCCCAGGCCCCTCTCCTGCCCCGGCTGCCCCAGGCTTGGCCACCACACAGTGCGGTTCCAGCCTCGGTCGGTCGGTTCCCTGTCTCTGAGCTGGGAGGGTTGGACCAGACCCTCCTAAGGCCCCACCACTGCTGACTCCTGTGACTCCAAAATCGGCCCCTTCCCCACCAGCAGCCCCCTCCCCCTGCGCCCCCCCAAACGGGGCTTCAACTCACATTTGTGAGCTCAAGGGCCAAGGCGGTCCATGTTGGTGCCCGCCTTTAGCTGCCCAACCTCAGGGAGACTGCTTCAGAGACATCAGGGAAATAGATGCCCTCCTGCTGTTCCCTCCAGGAGGTGAGGAAGGAGAATTCGGAGGAGGAGGAGGAAGAAGAAGAAGAGGGAGAAGGAATTTCACACCAGAGTCCAGGCCAGGGACACCCTCCTCTCCTGTGGGGTCTGTGAGGCCCGGGGCCAGGGGCCAGGGGAGGAAGGGCATGGGTTGGACAGCCTGGCAGGCAGGTGCTGTTAAAGCTCTGATCTCAGGCAGTGACTCTGCGGCTGCAGGGAAAGGGGCGCAAAGATGAAACCTGCACCAGGTGGCTCCCTCCTGGCCCAGGGCCTGGCTGCGGACACGGACATGGCAGGCAGCTGCCCGGGGGGGACCCCAAGTTCAGAGTGTGAGTGTGAGCCTTAGGCCTCCGCACCCTCCTCTCCCCACTTCCCTCTGGCTTTGGGGGCCGGAAGGGAGAGGGGACCCCGGGTTCGCATCTGTGAGCAGCCACAGAGGCTGAAGGCCTCCTGGGTCTGGGATGTGGGTGGGGCACCCCCTCCCTCCACAGCCGCTGATGTAAACGCGTCGTGATTTGCGTGGGGGGATTCCGGCCTGGGGTGACCGTTCTGGGGCCGCTGCCAGGCGTGAAACATCTGCAGAAGGGACAGCCCCTGTGACTCATCAGCCGCCATCACACAGGCCTGGGCTCCTGGCAGGACGGGTACTTCCTCTAGAGCGGCGGTTCTCAACCTTCCCGATGCCGCGACCCTTTAATACAGCTCCTCATGTTGTGGGGACCCCCAATTTCATTGTTACAAATCGAACATCATTAAAGCACAGTGATTAATCGCAAACACAATATGCAATTATATATGTGTTTTCCCATGGTCTTAGGCGACCCCCGAGAAAGGGTCGTTTGACCCCCAAAGCGTCGCGACCCACAGGTTGAGAACTGCTGCTCTAGAGCCGACCCTCCACCAGCTCCCGCGGGTGGCCCTGGCTTGCAGGACTCCTGTCCCCTGCCTTCCAAAGCTGGGGCTCTGGTGGCTCAGGTGGCCTCCCTCCCTGGGGGGCAGGTGGTCCCAGCAGGCAACGTGTCAGGTCTGCTGGCCACGGCGGACACCAGGGTCTCAGGAAGGGCCCAGCTCAGCCAGAAGCAGCCTCCGTCTCTGGTCGGGCTGTCACTGACCCAGCTGTCCCCACGGCCCGTGGAGGGGCAGGGTCCTGAGGGACTGGGCAGCAGATTCACCCCCCACGGCCATCCCACATTTTGATCCCTACAATCCGAACGGGGAAAGATGATATTTCAGCGCAGTTTTGCTTTATGTTTCTCTTACAATGAGTGAGGGGGAGCCCCTTTAAAATGTGTGAGACATGGCCCTATGGTCTGGCTCAATGGATAGAGCAGGGGTCCGCAAACTTTTTAAACAGGGGGCCAGTTCACTGTCCCTCAGACCGCTGGAGGGCCGGACTATAGTTTTTAAAAAAAACTATGAACAAATTCCTATGCACACTGCACATACCTTATTTTGAAGTAAAAAAACAAAACGGGAACAAAGACAATATTTGTATTTGCATGTGGCCCGCGGGCCGTAGTTTGAGGACCCTTGGGATAGAGTGTCCCCCTGTGGACTGAAGGGTCCCAGGTTCGATTTGGCCCAGGGCATTCGATCCCCAGTAGGGGGCGTGCAGGATGCAGCCAATCAATGATTTTCTCTCATTGATGTTTCTCTCTCTCTCCCTTACTCTCTAAAATCAGTAAAGTATATTAAAAAAATAAAATGTGTGAGACAGCAACTTTTCCTTTCTTCCACAACTCAGCTCTGTCTTTGCCCATTTTTCTATTGATCCCTCATTATTTTTGTTCTGTTTCTATAAAGTGTATAACTTTTGTTCTGGGATCTGAGTAACAGATATTTCTGAGTAACAGATATTTTTCCATTATTTTCATAGTTTGACTTTGCTGATTGTGAGGTTTGCTTTACCATGTCTTTTTTTTTTTTTTGACTTTGATGTAGTTAAATTCATCAGTGGAGAATTCTGTGGCTTCCAGGTTACAATTCGGGAGCTGAGCTCCACTCTGAGGTTATAATAGAATTCTCCACTGGTCTCTTCTGCAATGTTTATGGACTTAAGCAAATAATTACATTTATAATATCATCATAATGTAAATATAAATTACAATATATGATATCAATACATAAATATATAATAAATATGCGAATAATACAAAAGTCTAGGTTTATCATACTTACGTGACTATAATAAAAATATATTTAAGATTGATAATGTTAAATGATTATAGATCAATATTATCCCAGTTAGAATTTAGCCCTGTGACAAGATGAGCTATAACTCGATTGTTTTCCAAGTGGCTACTCGGCTGTTCCAATTCTATTTGTGAATCGTCTACCTGTCCTAGTTCCCACGTGTGGAGCTGTTTCCGGGCCTCTATTTTGTGCCGTTCACCTGTCTGCGTCCTTACGCACAAGTTCAGTGCTGTTTTAACCCCTCCCGCTTTGCATGTCTGACTATCTGACAGGCAGACTCCCTTGCCTTTGAGAATTTTTCTGGCTAAGCTTTCTGTTTAGTTTTCTCCTATTTATAAACGTCAGAATCAGCTGAGTTCCAATTTTTTTTTAAAAAAAAAAATCCTCTTGCTATTTTTATTGGGATTGCATTAAATTTAGCGACTCACTTAAGAGGAAGTGGCATTTTTACGAGGGTGACTGTAGCCGAGGACATGGGCCACTTTTTAAGTCGGTAAATGATCGCCCAGAAGAGGTACCGCCTTCGACCACTCCCCATCCCTCACATCTCTTCCTCTCGCTCAGACTCACCTTGGGCCCCTGTGTTCTCAGAAGCCCCAGCTGCCCAGCGGGCGCCTCACTCCTTAGTTCCTCACCCCAGGCCCAGCTGAGTGGGGTGCCTGTCTGACTATCTGACAGGCAGACTCCCTTGCCTTTGAGAATTTTTCTGGCTAAGCTTTATGTTTAGTTTTCTCCTATTTATAAACGTCAGAATCAGCTGAGTTCCAATTTTTTTTAAAAAAAATCCTCTTGCTATTTTTATTGGGATTGCATTAAATTTAGCGACTAACTTAAGGGGAAGTGGCATTTTTACGAGGGTGACTGTAGCCGAGGACATGGGCCACTTTTTAAGTCGGTAAATGATCGCCCAGAAGAGGTACCGCCTTCGACCACTCCCCATCCCTCACATCTCTTCCTCTCGCTCAGACTTCTCTTGGGCCCCTGTGTTCTCAGAAGCCCCAGATAGCTGCCCAGCGGGCGCCTCACTCCTTAGTTCCTCACCCCAGGCCCAGCTGGGTGGGGACAAGGCCTGCGACCACACGGTTCTGGGTCTCAGAATTAGGGGCAGGGGCCCTGGTGTGGCCTAGAGCTCAGTCCCCAGAGTTTGCATACACCTGTGAGCAGTGCAGTTTGCAAAGGACAGAAGCAGCAGAAAGCTCCTGCCTGCTCCTGCCCCAGGGCCCTGTGAGGGTGGCCACGGGGGCCCTGGTTCAGGCAAGGAGGGGGGTAGATAGAACAGGTGCTCAGGGAGTAATTGGGGGGTTAAAGAGGTTATTATTTGGGGTCTGAACCCCAGTGTTAAGGAGCTGTTCACTGCCCCAAAAAACACTCCCCCCAGCCTGGCCTCCAGGCCTCCCCAGCCCTCCTCCTGCCCGAGGCGTGGCTTCCAGGTGCAGAGGCGGACAAGATGCTAAACATCCCCGCACGCTGTGCCCACAGGTGACTGCTGGCTGTTGGCAGCCATCGCCTCCCTCACCTTGAACGAAGAGGTCCTGGCCCGAGTCGTCCCCTTAAACCAGAGCTTCCAGGAAAACTACGCTGGGATCTTCCGCTTCCAGGTGACTGAGCGGATGGTCCAAGCTTCTCCTCCACAGGGCCTAGGGTGGGGGCAGG